TATGTATGTTACGCGATAACTCCGGTATTTGTGAACCGATTTTCATGGTTCTTTTTTTGTTTAAAAGGGGTACTTCCGTAGTGGTCCCGTTTCATTTTGAAGAAAATCATCCTCCTGTAAGGATGGCTGTTCACGCATGAAGATTCATTTTTATAAATAGCGCCTAACTTTAATTAAGGAGCAATTGTTTTAATGGTTGATTTAGCTATTTCTCCAAGGCGTTTTTCTCTCCATATACTTCGAGTAGTGAGAACCGATTTTTATTATCTCCAGTGTCAAGTCCTGTATAGTGGCGAACTAGGGGATATTTCAATAAAACTTAGCAAATAGGCGTAATTCCACGTACTTTTGAGGTCGGTTTTTTTAGTACTCCGTACTGAGATTATTATAAAGATCGAGTCAAGTGTATACGATCTAGCGATTTTGTATTGATTCATTGCAATGCGATTTTTAAGCAAATCGAATATCAAGGCATAATTGAAACAAAACTGTCGTCCTGCCGAGCCGACGATAACCAGGTACTCATTTTAGCGAGTGAAGACTGTTTCCTGTGTACCCTTGTGAGTGTGCACGTGTTAGATACTGTATCTGTCTCGTTACAGCTCGCTAATAAGTACTAGACTTAAATAATTGCTATTTATATTAATATTGTTAAGAATTATTTATTTAAAAGCATTTTTTCTCTGTATTCTAGAGCTATGTGTTATATATTGACTATAGTGCCCCAAATAAAACCCTCGGGCCGTTTTTCTTCTCATTACACGACCATGACCGTAATGAGAAGAAAAAGGCCGAGTCAGTTAGCCTGCATGCAGACATACTGTTTAAATGCAAGTGTGATGAAAAGCATTGTATGTTTGAGCAGTACGGGAATTACGAATCTCGACTCCGAAATCCTTCGACTTCACTAATATTCAATGTACTAACTATAGTGTGTTAGCATCTTTAAAATCTACCGACGCATCACGTCTTGTTTTTCATATTTTTATAATATAAAGTCAAGTGACGGTACGAACAAGTCGTGCGCCTGATGTTAAGCTACACGCCTGTCCATAACAGTTGCAGTGCCACTCAGTCTTGAATCGCAAAGATCAATATGGCACTACCACTGCGCCCGTCACCCTAAGTCATAAGTTGAGTCCCATGTGCCTGTAATTTCACCAGCACCCTTAATCCTCCAAAACCGGAACACAGTAATGCTGACATTACTACTTGGCGGCAGAAATAGGTAAGGTTAGAGATCCACTACACTACTGTGCCGTAGTCACATTGGGTTGTATTTATTAGCATCCCCATAAAACCCATTTACAGTCAGCTCTTGTTTAACGATAAATCCGGAAAAATAGTTTCATATCCAGTATATAAATAACCAACCAATATAATAAGTATACTTACTAAGCGAGTTTTAACGGACTCTGATTACAGTATAACAATGCGTTTCATGCTATGCTCCCGCTACTCTGGCGATGTAGTGCGTCTGGCATGTTCACTGTTAATTGAATGGTTTACTTTTTATAATGCGTTAAGGTCTTGACCATGTCCTAATCAAGGTCTTGGTCTTTTGTTTACATTGCGAGTGTGAACGAAGCAGTCAATAATATTATGAGGATAATGTCCTCACTACATCTACTCTCCTTATAAAATATTTTTTTTAATACCTAGTGGATTTTTTAAGAAACATAGATTACGAATTCGGCCGGACCGAAGGAATTTTTTCTAAAGGTTCGATCTTTGTATTATTAATTATGACAAACTAGTGAAGTAACTTCACAAAAAAAAAATGAGTGAATATCAATTCAATAAAATTTAAATAGATTACGTATTTAACATCGCAGTTTTTATCAGAAGCAATCCAAACTTCTTTAAATATCGTAGGATTAATAAACTTGACAGCGTAGGTGGCAAATCTGCCCTTATATGTAACTAAGACTACGAGTGGCTATCCAACTGTCACTAGGTGTGTGCATTGTGGAAACGGAAAAACCCCCCACCACCTGGTTTTACCGCACCTCTAGAGCAACCTGGTGGTAGACCAGGTGCGGTTTGCGGTGAGTGGAAGTTCTTAAATCGCCTTCGCCCTCAGATAGGACGCTGCAGAGACACGATGTGTAAATGGGGTTTCAAGGATATTAGTCAAATCCAATGTGACTGCGGTGCCCCAACGCAGTCCATGCAGCCCTTGCTGTGGTGCCCCTTGTGTCCTAATACCTGTACGAGGGAAGATCTCTACGCGGCCACGTACAGCGCAGTCAAAGTAGCAACGTACTACTAAAATAAAAGAAGTATCAACACGATAAGAAGAAGAATAATTTGAAGAAACTATTCCACCTCAGAGGATGGTAAACTATGAGACGAATGACTTTTGAGGTCGGTTTTTTTAGTACTCTGTGTTGAGATTATATCTTATTTAAACAAGCACACAATTCATCTAATGAGAATTGGTAAACGTCGTCTATATGATACTAAGGAAGCATCTTTAATTGTCATTAATTAAGAGTCGTATAACATGTATGAAAAGATCAGAAACGATGTCGCTGTTATAATTTGTTTAGATAGGTTCTTACTAGGGCTTTTATTCCGGGAGATTCCCGATCTCGAGATTTTCGAATCTCGACGATTTTTTGGCATTCTCGAGAATTGAGACATTTCTTTTCTGGCTCGGGAGTAAGTTCTAAGTTCGTTCATTCGTTTTTACTTAGAAATCATAGTTCTATAAATGGGGCTTTATAATATCTTTTTTTTTATATAATCATTGATCAGCCATCCTGATATCAGAATGGCTGGTCACTTATTTTTTTAAATATCTCAGAATATATCAAAGGTAGCAATTATTTAGAAAAGATAGTAAATAGGTAGCAATTCTTGAATATACACTCAGTGCCAGATGCCACAGGCGAACCGCCATCCTGACGGCCACAAAAAGTCAGCCTTATTGCTCTGCAGGTTGCGTGCCAGCTCCAACCCTATACTGGAAACAATTGTCAGTAGATTTTTTTTAATAATATTAAGTGACGGGACGAACAAGTCGTGCGCCTGATGGTAAGCTACTCGCCTGTTCATAACAGTTGCAGTGCCACTCAGAGCTTTAATCGCAAAAATCTTAAGGCACTGCCACTGCGCCCTGCACCCTGGACATAAGTTGACAAGTCCCAGATGCCTGTAATTTCACCAGCACCCGTACTATTACTGCTACTTCTGTGGAAAAACTCTTTCACAAGAAGCTCTACTGCTACTAACTATCAGCTACCAGCGTAAAAGTGGTGTAACCTCATGAAATGCATGTATTAGATTTAAAATTTGCCAAATACATTTTATATATAGTAATCACGTAATCGAGCTCTCTCATTGTGAGAAACCTGTGTCCAACAATAGTGGGACCATAACTAGGTTTTTATTTTTCCATTATAATCATATAAGATATCCTCCAATTGCAGTATTTTAAAAATACAAGAATTTTATTCAAGGGTAGTTCTAAAATTACCCGCGCAAAAGATGAGAAATCACCATGGCCAATACATAATGGATTAAAATTTGATATTTATATATTTTTCATTTATATTTTGATGTGCCGCATGGACTTTTTGGCCAACCCGACACTTGCAATGGGAAGATGATTTCATCTGATGGCTTCGTCAGATAACTCGGAAATATGAACACGAGCTGCATTACTATAAGGAACTCAATGAACTAGATTGCTGTTACACTTAAGGTCTGTGTTACGCGTTTGTTACGAGATCACTAATATAGTTATTGTTACGATAGATATTATTATTAATAAGTTTCATTAATCAGACAACAACAGTCCAGTTTAGTTAGTAAACAATGTTATTTTTAAAAACTATGTTAGTACTTAGTACTAAAAAATTTGATTAAAAATACAGTTGAAATTAGTATTATAAAAAAAATCTACTGACAATTGTTTCCAGTATAGGGTTGGAGCTGGCACGCGACCTGAAGAGCAATGAGGCTGACTTTTTGTGGCCGTCAGGATGGCGGTTCGCCTGTGGCATCTGGCACTGAGTGTATATTCAAGAATTACTACCTATTTACTAACTTTTCTAAATAATTGCTACCTTTGATGTATTCTGAGAAATTAAAAAAAATAATTGACCAGCCATTTTGATATCAAGATGGCTGGTCGCCACTTTATTCAGCATGAAGGGAGCAGATTTTCCAGAAGTATGTATTACTATTATTCCTAACTATGTATTATTTCAATGTAGTGATTGAAAATTTTACGAAGTGCCTGATTAAATTTAAAAAAAGTTTTTAGTGCTCTATTGCCATAATATAAAAGGCAGGCGTTGGCACTTCTTCGTAAAATTTTCAATAGTTTATATTTTTTTAACTAATGTAAATACGAAGCGTACCCTTAATTCGTGAAAGTAGCAAACAGGTAGCAGTTATTGGTAACGGATACTTCTGGAAAATCAAAGGTAGCAATTATTTAGAAAAGGTAGCAAATATATTGCAATTCTTGATTATACACTCAGTGCCAGACGCCACATGCGACCAGCCATCCCAAAGGTCACGACTATTTACGCATAATGGCATAATATAGTCGGATGACAAACATGCATGATGCACTGCAGAGACGTGGCAGCCCCAACAACATCCGAAAACTATCATTGTACTGCACTCGTATGGCGCTGATAGTTTTAAACATATAGTCGGTCCAAAATTTGCATTTGTAGAAAACTTGTCAGTATGCTTTAAAAGGCAGGACTTTTACTTGTTCACTACAGCGCGCAAAACTTCGTTCCACCATACATGTGACCGCCAGCGCCCTACGTTCCCTCTCGATATCCATGGAATCCTTGAGAACGTCGGTGACAAAATGGCTTGCTACACCCGCTGTAGTTCAACATTGTTTAACCCTACGGGTGGAACGTAGACCCAACGGCTCCGAAAACCATTATACGTCATTACGTATATACAGAAACCTCTAAGCGCGTAACTACGCAGTTGAAAAGTTTTTGAAAATCAGTTTGTCATATAATTAGTACTGCTGGAATGCCGAACTGTGATTAGTTTTAGCAAGAACCCATAACTCAAGAGGACTGCTAAACGCGATACAAAACAGCGTCAAGACGTAGTTAGGTGTTTAGACCCTTTTAGTACACCAGACTAAATAGGTATACATTGACATACTGCAATTTATCAAAGCTGCTCTAATTTCTAGTAATTATAAACAAATAAACTAGATGGCGCTTATTGCACATATTTTGTGAACAGTGCAGGCTACTATTTTATTTTGTTTAGGATTAACACCATGTATTCGTATTAGGAAGCGTTAATTTAGTAATTATTTTGTAACTCACAATGCCATCTGTGACACGCATATTTGTCAAAGATTAGAAAATAAGTTTGGCTCATGATTGAAACATTTTTACTTTATTAGTAGGTACGGTTACCTTTAGTCTTTGGTAGAAGCTAGGTAAATAGAAAAAGAATAAAGTAGAAAGTTTACAAAGCGTCTATTACAGGACTACAATAAAAATAATAATAAATATAATAGATTTAAACACTAGCTCAGGGTAGTGAGTTCGCGTACACTAAACGAGTTCCGTTTACATTGTCTACTTTGGAAAACCACTTCCCTGCCGTTCGGTAGCTCGTAGTAGGTGAGAAATGGTGACCAGGTAGTCTGGTTTCTTAGGCAGTGCTCACTTTAGTAGCGGGCAGATAGATGACGCTGTTGTAGTCTCACCCTGGGCGAAGAACCACGATTTGGGGATTTTACACTGATCTCTGTATGTATATATGTCCCTATCTACCGACCCGAGAGATAGGGTTTTCCGGAGAGGCTACGAGCTCGACGGCAAGACCAGGGTACAGTGGGCGTCCGGGACAAGCCCTGCGCCAGTGATATGCCTTTGCGAGCGTCTCTGGCGCGGACCCGGACTTGGGTATGGACTCCCTGGGGTTTGTGGTTAGCTACAGAGACGGACATGTTTGTCTGCCCCGGTTGGGTGTGGCCGGGGCGTCTGTCTCGTGAGCAACTAGCGCGTCTCAGTAGCGGTCTAGTTCAGGGCCTGAAGCGAGGAGACGCGCTGGTCACATGAGTTGCCCTATAAGTTGGAAGCTATGTTCGGACATTGTCGCAGGACACTGCGACTGACATCTCCGGCACTAGTAGAGGATAAGCTAGATATCCTCCGGTCCCTCCAGCCGCTTAGGTTGTTGGGAACTGGAGACACGTCGTTTTTCGGCGTCGGGAAGAGAGCGTGCCTGCAACTCCGGTACCTATCAGGAAATTGGGGAGGGTACTGTACGTGCACCCGGGGCAGCTCACCCGAGGCACTAGCCTCTCCAAGAACCGGACGAAGTCAAGTGACAGAGGTCTGTGACAACCTTGTACACTGGCTGATCTGGGGTCAGAACCTGAACTTATAAGGTTCCTGTAGTGTATATAGTGCATAACCAAACTACATAACCAAGAGGTTGATAGGCAGGGCACTGTAAACAAAACTTATGTAGAATGATATGGGACTGACCTCTGTATGGTGTCCCTATTTACCGACTTGAGAGATAGGGTTTTCCGGAGAAACCGATGTTGTTATTATAGTAGTTTGAAAAAGAGTGACTGAATTTCAAAATTGTTCAGTTTTATTTTCTATTTTCATTTCATTGCCAATTTCTGTCGCAAAGCAGTGATGTGAAAATTATTACGTTCGGCTTTTGAAGGTTAGAAGCGCTGGTGAAATTACAGGCACATGGGTCTTGTGAACTTATGTCTCAAGGTGACGGGCGCAGTGGCAGTACCCTTGTGTGTTTTAAAGCTCTGAGTGGCACTGCAACTGTTATGGACAGGCGTGTCGCTGATAATCAGGCGCACGACTTGTTCGTTTTGTCACTTGTCACTTGGTATTATAAACAATCCCTTAAAGGTTTATTTTTATTACAAAACGTAGGTCCTATCTTTCTCTTTACAAAAATTTCACCTTATACATATAATATCGTAATAAACTATGGTAATATTAATAACGTATGTTTTATGATCTACGTTTATTGAGCAATAAATACTTGCAATATATTTGCAATTAACAATTTCAGGCGTCGGCAGGTACCAGTACTTCCATTGCGTACTTATGTTGACTACGTTGGAAGCAGCGATCTTTGAGATCATTGGCAGTGCTTTCATCCTTCCCGCGGCCGCCTGCGACCTTGGCTTATCGGATGAAATGCGAGGGCTTATCGCTTGTATACCTAGTATCGGTAATGTATAAAGCCTTTACCAACTTTTATAAAGTTTTTTAGAAAAGGTTGCAATAATTTAATTAAAGTGTCCCTGATAAACTAGTTCTAACATTGCTGCAATTAGTGTTGCCAAGACCCTTGAGTCGAAAATTACGTTTCGTTACCTGTAACGTTACATTTTTGCAGCAAAAATTACATTTTACGTGTTCGTTTTTTTTTAATTTAAAAATGGTAACTTTAAAATATAAACATATAAACGCCTAAATCCTAAAAATAATAAGTAAGTACCAGTAATTGATTGATTTAATTTTGTTTACGCCATCTCAGAGTTATTTTTTTATCTAATTTGGGTGAGTTCATAAACTGTTTATGATTTACAATAACAATTACAGTTGAATTTAAAAATCTCAACTTCCTCAAAAGTTACGGAAATTGCCTAAAAAACAAAAGTTACTTACATATTACGCGAGAAGGTCAACAGTTACGGAAAGTGTAAGAAATGTAACCTTCTGGCAGCACTAGTTTCAAAAGAAAATACAAAAAAGTAGAATTTTATGTATATTTTTTGTACTTACAAAATATTTCTAGCTCAAATTGTTTATTATGTTTAGTTCCTTGTGCAAGAGTTCATCGTTACAATTTCATAAATTATTTTCTTATCATAAACTGAAACAATTTTTTTTAAATTAATTTCCAGGTATAATCCTGACTACACCATTCTGGGGTCGCCTAGCGGACAAATACGGGCGTAAACCAGTGCTGACTGCAACCTGCGCGTGCGCCGGCCTCGCCGGCCTTATGGCTGCACTCATGCCGAATTTACTGACATTTGCCATTTGTCAGTTTGTCGCATCACTGTTGTATGTATATCTTTCTTAACATATTTACTTCTGAATTCACTTTTCAGATATAGATACAAATTAGTAGCCGTCGCGCTCCTTGTGAAAGAACGTCCAGCCCGGGCTTGCATTTCGGATAATCCGTTAAATTTGGTATACGAATTTTGAACTCGTCACGAATCTTGATAATTCGAATATTTCGAAAAATACGTAACCAGTTTTAAAACAACTTTCAATTGTTTTAATGTTATTTTATATTAAAATACATATTATATCTCTGTTATCTATCTGTCCAAGATTTTTCATGTGCTTGTTCAAGCTACAGTACCCGGTTAAGGCTCTAGTCAGCGTTCTGATGCCATTTCTGCCCAGTGCCAAGGAGGCTGTCTGGCTTCGATAAGTGCAATAATAACAACATGGATACAGAACTACGCCCCGGACACTCCATACAACGATCGAAAGTTATTTACCTACTACTGCTATATACAGCAAGGCGCTATCTGTACACACGTAAATTTGTGCGTGAAGTGTCAGTGTACCCATCATTTTCTCATACTATTACGTTATGTGGTCAGACCAGCAACATAGAGAAAATTCTATTTCTATTCTATTAATAGAATCCTAATAATTACACATGTTCTTCTCTCCTCTCATTAATATCTATATAATATTATATTTTTCATTAATTCAATAACTAGAATAATATTGAAGATTTATTTTAAAAATATATTAAAATCACTTAAAATGTTATATTTTGAACAGGTACTTTTAAATAACATAACCAAGGTATTTGAAATTGCGTGTCCAAGTTTATCATTACGTAGTTAATTATATAGTATATTCACTACGTAATATTTATCGGCTACCCTTGTCTACTAGCTCACGAAGTTATGGCGTCTCATTATATTGACATAATAAATCTGTATTAGATAGGCCGCACTATAAGCTTCAAGAACTGGCCACTTACATAAACAATATTTAAAAAGTAATTACAACATTTGAAAATGGAACTCTTTGGCTGTGGAATACAGTTTGTTTCATCTGACTGTTACTTGTTTTTACATTGTGGCGTCATTTTAGAAATTGGTTGTCTACATCACCATGGATTTAACTCGTGAAAATTTTCGTAGTATGATTTTCTACGATTTTAAGTGTAATGTAACAGCTCAGCGAAGCTTCCCTCGGCTTCAAACTGCTTTTGGCGATGAAGCACCATGCAAGTCGACTATTTATAGCTAATTTGTAAAATTCAAACGCGGTCGTGTAAATTCGTGATGGTCACCCGTCCACTGCTGTGAACAACAAAAACATCGATGCTGTGCGCCGTATAATCAAAACAGACAGGCATGTGACGTACCACGAGATTCGGGCATCGGCATGAGTCAAATACAATAAATAGGCATAGGCATGAGTCAAATACAATAAATACTACACTGCCGTCCTTAGCTAAAAGGGCGCATGTGACATTTTTACCAAAAATGAGTTACGTATACTGCCGCAATCAGGAAAAAAGGCGCATCTGCCATTATTTTTACTTTTTTCCTATGTGGATTAGGTAAGGAGTTACCGTAAGAGAAAAGGGCGTAAGTACCCACACTTTTATGTTCGAACTAAGATAAATGGACGCATTTACAAAACAACTTTGTTATATACCATAAAAGACAACTATTTATAGCTCATGTGTAGAATTCAAACGCGGTCGTGTGAATCTCAGTGACGAATTTCTTGATGGTGGGCGACCATCAAGAAATTCGTCACTGAGAAAAATCTGTGCTATCGGTGGATCCCACACAATTTAACTGAGGTTCAAAAACGGATCGCGTCACAATGTGCAATGGTGCAATGCCATGCTTACCAGATTCAACGAAGGGGCGTCAAATTTGGTGTGGGACATAGTAACAGATAACAAAACATGGATTTATAGTTACGAACCCTAATCAAGCAGCAATGGAGCGTATGGGTCATTCGAGTTGAGCCGACATCAACCAAAGTGGCGCGCGTGCAAAATGCCTCTAAGCAGATGAGTGCTTCTTTTTTTTTATAAAACTGGACACGTGGCTACTGTTGCTTTGGAGAATCATTGTACCGTGAATAGTGATTGGTACACGACCATTTGTTTTCCGGAAGTTATTGACAAACTCCGTACAAATTACCGTAAACGCCGTATCATCTTGCACCACGATAATGCCAGTTATCAAAGGCCAGACAGACAAATGAATTTTTGAAAGTCAACAACGTTGACCTTATGAGCCATCCCGCGTACAGTCCCGACCTGACACCTTTGTGACTTTTATTTGTTTCCAAAAATTAAGGACCAGTTACGCGGTCATCGATTTTCATCACCTGAAGAGACTATCGAAGAGTATGAAAAATATGTTTCAGAGATTGTCATGGAGGAGTGGCATAAACGTTTCAAAATAGGTTCATTCGTATGACAAAATCGCATTAACGCTAACGGAGACTATTTTGAGAAACAATAAATTCATTTCGGACCATTTATAGTATTTTTTCTTATTCATTCCGGAAACTTATAGTGCGCCTCACGTCTAGATTACTCTGTACTAAGTAAATGAAAAAAGCAATACCTGAATGAGTCTCAGACATAAGTTTTTTTACTTACTTCGTTTCTTTTTTCGGAAAACGAAAGAAACTCCTCTTTTTATCCCAGTTAGATGATGATAAACAACTGCACAGAGCACAATTCACTACCTTTATAAATAATAACGTACAATGATGTTAAGTTTCGAAATGAATAAATGAAAACTGTATTCAAACATCAAAGTCGTCTTAGTGCGAAAACGGCGACAGCCTTCATGTGCGTGGTGCGGTATCTATAGGGAGAGGCGGAGAGTGTTCTGGTTACTTTTTTGTTCTCTGACAGAACTAAGGATGTCTTATAACAAACTTTACAACATCGAATGAAGGTGTTCTTTATATTGTAGTCTGACTTCTCCAAGTTCGCTGGGCTTCGCATACGCTGGAGAGATGGTACCTCGCAAGCAAAGGGATCGCGCAGTCTTGATTTGCAGTGGATTGCTTTCCTTCTTAGCAGCGCTTTGCCCTAGTAAGTATTCTACAATTTTTGCAAAAACTTTAATAATAAACAAACTGTTGCAATTAAGAGGGAGCATGCCAAAAAAGTTTTGACGTTGGCTCCACCCAAATTTGTGAAACAAATATATGCCTGAAGTTCGCGTGACATGCGATGATGTTGAATTTTGCGCATTAAAAGTACCAAATTCGTTTTAGCGGAATAACTCTAAAACTAAAGGGATTAAAAAAATCCGTAGTGACAGTTCTCGATCATGCATAAATATAATTAATTATCTAATTTTTGTCCTAATAACCTGTAGCATTTCGAGGATGAATCGAAAAAATTTGAATTTAGAGGTCATTTCGTGATTTTTATCTGTCGGGGAAACTGTATTGTTTTATGTTTCTGATTAGTGTCTATGCTTGAATATATCGTGTAGTTACTCATACAATATTTTATTTTTAAGTTTAAAGTGGATATACTCCTCTAAAATCAAATCGAAGATTAGAAATTTTTCCTCTGCTCCCTCTTAATAAAGCTACATCTTTTGTCGGCCGTTGGTAGCTTATGGGTACCTGGTACAGTTAAGAAAAAAAAACTAAGTTTCTTACAGGTGGCGTTAAAACAAATAATTATCGCGATAAATTATCGTTATAAAATTACTAGATATTATAATGGATACATTACACTAATGTAAAAAGTATGCGAAGTGAGGGAGGGTGAAGAAAGACGCCCGAGTCATCAAACGCACAACGGTTTTTATTCACGTAGGCATAAAAATTGATATAGACTTTTTCACCCTTATTCTCAACATCTCAAATATGCCATTACGTGCGTGTATCTATCTGATTTTAAATTTCAATAAGAAACTCCTATTACAGTCTTGGCTTGGATTGTTCTATCCTTCAACTGGCAGTTCTACGTTGGCACTTTAAGTTTGAGACCCTGGCGTCTTCTCACAGCTGTCTACGCAGTCCCTCTCATCCTCACAGCGATCTGGATGACTCAGGCAAAAGAGAGCCCCAAGTTTCTTGTATCTACGGACAAGCCTGAACAAGCGTTGGAAGTTTTGAGGCACATCTTTGTTAAGAATACTGGTTTGCCAGTTGAGGAATATTCCGTAAGTTATTTTTATTTTTTTATTGCTTAAAACAAATAAACACATTGTTTAATACGCAGAATATCGTAAAAATAACGAACGATTGGTTTGATTCAATACTGTTCAATCTCTACTACACTACTACATACATAATTTACATTTAGTACTCAATACAGAGTAGTAAAAAAGCCAACCTTTATTCAACAACAAATTTATTCAACCCCTAGTTTGCCACTCTTAGAGGTGGAATATTTTCTTCAAATTTAAATGGGACCATTACTAAGGTACCCTCTTTCCAACAAAAAGAATCATCAAAATCTGTTCACAAATTTTTATGATTCTTTAAATGCCGGAGTTATCGCGTAACATACATGCAAAAGAACAAATAAGCAACATGCAGTCGAATTGAGGACCTCCTCCTTTTTTGAAGTCAGTTAAAAAGTAAACCACACTAGCAATCAATCTAAAACAAT